ACCCGCGGTGCCCCTGCTGGAGGAGGGGGACCTTGGTGTACACCTGTGTTGCCCCTGCTGGGTTACTCCTAAAGAGTATCTTGTGTCCCTTTTTTCCAAGGGTCTTTTAAGTGACTTGGGTCTGGGAATTGGGTAAAGGACTGTGACTCTCTATCTTCATGATAAAAATCAGACCCTGTTCCCCAGACTTAGATTTTGTTATTGTTGTTGTTATAGAAATTTAGTCACACTTTGGTATCCATGTATTTCAGCCCCAAAGACCCTACAATCTATTATGCACTCTCCACCATCCCTAAGAATCAAATCCTTCTGAGAATCACACCCAAGCCTTCTGCCTATTTCAGGAATGTGGACCCACTGTGAAGGTTAAAGCTGACATCTACTCCTTCAGGAAACCTTTTCCCATGGAGGCATCTCCTGCTATCATCCCTGGCCTACGGAAGGCAAGTACTTTTCAGGCATGCTCATGCTCTTCTCATCAGTGGATTTTTCTTCTGAAACTGGGTGAGTAGTTTTCAAAGCTATTATAAATCCACTGTCATATTCCTGTCTCTGTAAGTCTTTGGATTCCCTTCTGTATGTTCCATCAAGGAATGTATGGCATCTGAACCTCACATGCACAGGCCGCCGCTGAGACTCAGTCTCAGACAACCAGTCCAGAAGTTGACGCCTCTTCCCGTTGTTTAATCTAGCACGTTGTATCCAGCATTCTCGGTGAGGGCACCTATAAGATGAGCTTGATCCAATCTAAAATTCTGACCTTCTCTTCCTAACACTCTCAGAATACCTTCCCATAATCCTGCTTTTGGTGTGTCTGCCTTCTCTTCCTAGGTCTGATTTTGATTTCAGGGCGTGCTAGAATCAGCCTCTAGCTTTGGGTCTGGAGTCAATGAACAGAGGAAGGGGTGGGCCATGAGGACATCCCCTTGCAAGGTGACCAGCGAGTGAAGCTGGTGTCTTTGAACAGCACAGGACCAGCCTCATCAGAATGGGAGGAGGGGCTGCTTTTGTTGGTCCAGGAAGCTCTGTGAGTTCCAGGGCTTTAGATTCTTGGGGCTATCTGACACCTCCAAAATATGTCCATTCCAGTACTCGGGGGAAGAGCCCCTTTTTCTCGATAAATGCCCTGAAAGACCTGGTGAGACTTGAACTCAATGTGTTCTGTGATTCATCGATCTTCAGACTCCGTCTCTGCCTCCAACTTTGCAGCTGCATTCGCTCAGTGCCTGCAAGAAATACAAGAGTATTTTAGGGAAGCCACAGAACCTTTCTCATTCACTGACCATGCTCTGAAGTGAGAATGTAAACGCCTAAGCTTGTGACTTTTTTTCTTTAAATTTTATCGTGCAGTTAACTGGAATGACTCACCTCAGAGCCTTTTTATTCCTTCCTTCTCCACCTGCCAGAGCCTTGCTTTCACTGGCATTTCATTCTGTGCGACTATAGTTGATCATTTTGGTGTTTTGCCACTGGGAGCCATGGACTAATATAAACACAACTCATGATATAATCAAAATGCAATTTTATATTTACCACCAACTCTTTCAACTTCATTCAGGGTTGAAGGAGAAGAAGGTCTTCCTCTACCCCCGGATGGAACTTCTGACAGCTTCTCTGGCCTTTCTTGCTCTCCCTGACTACCTTCACCTCTCCGTGCTAGCTGTCATTTTCTTTTTCTCTCAGGTTGAAGGTAGGGTAGAGATGAGAGGGAAAGAGGCGAGTGAGTTATGACTTGATCTGGTGGCTTCGTGTTCTCTGGGCCTTGCAGATGATTAAAGCTGGTGACCCCTGGGGGGCCTGTAGGATGCTCAAGCTGATTGGTCTCTCAGGGCAGTTGCATAGGAATTTCGGACGCCCCCTACAGGCCGCCTCTCCGGCAGTTCCCTCGATTCCAGTGGATGTATCTCTATTCTGGATGGTTCCTTTCAACTCTTTCCTCAGCCCCTGGATATCCAGCAGTGCACGCTCAGCTTTTATTGCCAACGTCCTTCTAAAAAGACCTATCATTAGGATCCAAGGCTTTCTCCTTTTTAACCCACATGTAGTTACGGGAAATCTCATCCCCTGCGCCAGCAAACTCCGGGAGTGCCTGATGATTGCAATGTAGCAGCCCTCCTGGGTCCTGTATCTCCAGAGCACTTAACCCTTCTAAACATTCTGTATTTTGATGGAGGAGTTAGACTTCAGTCCATGACTTGATTGTGCTTTCTTGGTCAGTAGTCAGACCCTGGTCCTCTATGCCTTCCAGCTGCAGGGGGCTTCATTTCATAACTTACTCTGTGGTCTACTGGAAATTCTCTCACTAGGCTTGAGGTTGGGAGATAGCACCTAGCACCCCGCCCCGCACCCCCGCTTTGTCCAAAGGAGAGAGGACTTAAAGCAGAGCAGAAGCCTCTTCAAAAAAGATCTCCTCAATCATTTTCTCCAAATCATCTCTCTGACCCCCTTTTACATCCTTGATTTCTTTGAGAAGCCCAGGAGATGTAGGGCAGGTTCTTCTTCCTGCCCTGTAAATTCTGCCTAACGGGGGAGGTTGAGGTCTGGGGCTGGGCTCACTCTTATTTTGGCATCCTGAGATATAATCTATTGATGCATCTCCCTAAACTAAGGAAGAAACAGTATCATCCTAACTTGTATTACAATAGTTTTCATGACTCTTTTACTACCGGGTGCCAGTGTTTTACCTGTATCGCATCCCTACTCTTTTCTTATCCAACCAGGTCACCTAGTCCATCCCAGATTCCCAATACCTTGGGACCTGTTTCAAAGAAAGAATCCATTCCAGCTAGTTTCAGTAAAAAATTATTGCACAGTATTAACTAGAATTTCTGGGAGGGCCGACAAACAAAGCCTGCATGTCATACAGTCAGAAGCAAAGCAGCCAGGAAACGTGTCCAACTACATCACAAATGTCCAAACACACCACAGGGGTGTTCTAGCAGAAATCCTGCTGTGGCTGCCAAGGGATGCTCAACATCTATAAAACCTGCACTGAGCACCAGTATCCCCATTGCAGTTCCTGCAGAAAAGCAAATGCCCCAGGGCCATACTTACTAGGAGAATAGTGTGTGTGTAAGTTTTCGCCTGTATCCCAAGTCTTGCTTAAGTTTGGGGTTTGTTGGAATAGAGTCACATGTCTATATCCTAGCAGCAAAGGGTTTTAGGATATGTGTTGTCTTTGTTTGTCTCTATCTGTGGAAAGGAGAATTCATAATATAGAAGAACTACAAAGAAAAGATGTGGGGCAGACACAAATGAAAAATGTCCATTACAAAACTCTTATGAAAGAAAAGCTTATGGTCCCAATCGATAAACTATTTTGACTATATAAAACAAACAAACAAAAAACCCTCTTATGTACCTTTTGAATTTTGCATATAATACCCATTCAAAATATAAATTAAGAAAAATTTAAATCCATTTTTCTGAGGCTTTTCCCATGGACCATCTTTCTGTGCTCAATCCTCTTAGGCTGTTGCGGTCTTCTAATATCTCGTATTGTCATTGTTCTTTAACACTGTTGATTGTTCTGACTGACTCTTTGATAGTCTTTGACCTCATTTAGTTGTGTTGTTACAGAGATAAATGAGGTAATGCATTTAGAACTTATAGTGCCTGGTACATAGTAGGTAATCAATACTGGTAATCCTCCCACTTCTACTTCCCTAATATTATTGCCTGTGGTTGTTTCTCAAGTCTTGATTGTAAAGAACTCATTGAGATGTAGCAGGTGCATTCGAGTGGTTTTCCAGTTAATGTCCTGACAACTTAAACATGAAAACTGTGACGTTTGTGATTTATAATAAGAAATATATATTCAGTCCCTGTGCCCCTTTCCGGCACTGAGCTCCTAAAACCCTTGGACTTTCCTAAGTGATAAAGGTGTCTTAATACTCATAACAAACCCTTCTGAACCACACATGAGTTTATATTAATGAAGTGACTTTTGGAAAGCACCTAAGGATGGAGGGTGTTTGCCAGGGGAAAAGACCAGGTAATTAGTGGGTTGGAACTTTCAGCCCCACGCCCCCTCCACCTCTGGGGAGGGGAGAAGAACTGGGGGTTGAATTATTTGCCAATGGCCACAGATTTCATCAGACATGCCTATGTAACGAAGCCTCCACAAAACCCCCAAAGGACGGGGAAGTTCCCTTGTGGTCTAGCGTTTAGGATTCGGTGCTTTCACTGCCGTGGCCCAATCCCTGGTCAGGAAACTGAGATCCCACAAGCTGTGCGGTGTGCAAAAACAAACAAACCAACCCAAAAGGACAGGACTTGGAGTTTCCCGATTGGTGACCACATGGAAGTGCTGGGAGAGTGGTGCACCAAGAGAGCATGGAAAACCTGAGCCCCTTCCTCATACCTTGTCCTGTGAATCTCTTCCATCTGGCTGTTCCTGAGTTATATCCTTTCATAATAAACCAGTTATCTAGGAGGTAAAATGTTTACGTGAGCTGCTCTAGCAAGTTAATCGAACCCAAGGATTCGGTTGCAGGAGATCAGAGGATCTCTAGCTAGCAGGTCAGATGCACAGGTGACAACCTGGACTTGCGATTGGCATCTGAAGTTTGGGGGTGGGGTCGAGGGAGTGTTTTGGACAGAGCCCTCAACCTGTGGGATCTGATGCTATGTCCAGGTAGATAGTACCAGAAATGAGTTAAATTAGGACACCCAGGACCCAGTCAGTGTCTGCTGAGAATTAAGGAATTGCTTGTTTGTGTTAAAGTAAAAAAACCCACAGTGAAGACACTAATCCAAGCTAAGCCAGTGAGACTTGCTAGAGAAGGGGTTAGATGCTTGAAAGATAAGGTCACATAGAGATGGGATCAGAGTTGGTACCAAACAGCCCAAAGATACACATGCCAGCTAAAGAAGGGAAGTAGCAGAAGCTGGGAAGCTGTATATTTATGCTGGTTATCACATGTGTTCTCTCTAGTCAGTTTGCCTTAAATCCCTGCCCTGCTACTTACTAGCTGTGAGCTCTTAGGCAAATTACTTAAGCTCTCCATGCTTATATTTCTTCATCTATGACATAGGGAAAAAATTATATCTATCTCATATTTTGTTAATTGCTTTGAACAATTCCTATCATATAGGAAGTTTGATTTTTGGATTTCATTTACTTGAAAATTTATGTTTGAGAAGCATTTTAATTCCCCAAGTCTTCATCTTCCAGTGAACTAATGATCCTGCATTTCATGTCTCCTGGGTGTCATAAAAATATCTGTAAACATAGTTAGAATGTTTTAAATGGAGATTTTTATAACTCATCAGCTTCAATTTGAAACTCAGTATCATCACTTATAAGAATGGAAAAGAATTGACGATCATGAAAGTTGTATAAGTATCAAGTTGAATTTAGTACAAAGTTTTCTTTAGAGAGAAAATTTCTCTCTAAGGCTAGGTTGACATCCATTCCTTGGGTGAATTGATTTGCTATATGTTCAGTCAGGTTAATCCCAACCAGGCTATGGAAAGTGTGTCATTTCACAACTGGGTCAAGC